TCTTCAGGAACCCCCCCAAGGACCACACGGCCTATCCGGCTCTGCAAGAAGCTGTCAGCCCGCACATCGACTCCTTCAATGCTTTGTTCAGAGCCGACGGCAAGGGCCTCCTCGCCCGAGGCTTGGAGGACATCGGCGTCAAATCCTACCTCGACGGCGATGACAGAACCGGACCCGAGGGCAAGAATCGCTTGACCATCAAATACAAGGGCGTGTCACTCCAGAAGTCTCAGCTGCCCCCCTCCAACAAGTTCGCCCGCAATCGCGAGATTCTCCCGTCCGAGTGCAGAGAACGACATTGCACCTACCGAGGCAGACTTTCCGCGACATTCGAGTACAGGATCAACGATGGTGATCCCAAGGAGTTCGTTCGCGAGCTCGGCCAGGTCCCTATTATGGTCAAGGTAAGCGCATTTCTTCGCCCAGGTCGTCCTTGGAAGTGCCCAGCTGACAGCATTCCCTTAGTCCAACAGGTGCCACTTGGAAGGAAACTCGCCCGCACAGCTGGTGCAAAAGAAGGAGGAGTCGGAGGAGTTGGGCGGATATTTCATCGTGAACGGCAACGAAAAAATCATCCGAATGCTACAGGTCAACCGACGAAACTTCCCCATGGCCATCAACCGCCCCAGCTTCCAGAACCGTGGCCAAGGCTACACCCCGTACGGTATCATCCTCCGCTCCGTCAGGCCCGACGAAACATCGCAAACCAATGTCTTGCACTATCTGAGTGACGGAAACATGACCTTCCGGTTCTCCTGGAAAAAGAATGAGTACCTCATCCCGGTCATGATGATCCTCAAGGCGCTGGTGGAGACCAACGACCGCGAGATCTTTGAAGGGCTGATTGGCCTGTCGCACTCCAAGTCGGCCAAGAACACCTTCCTGACGGACCGAGTTGAGCTACTCCTCCGCACCTACAAGTCGTATGGCCTATACAGCAAGACCGAGACGAGAGCCTACTTGGGCGAGAAGTTCCGCGTTGTGATGGGCGTTCCGGATACCATGTCCAACTATGATGTTGGTACTGAGTTCTTGCGCAAGATCGTGCTTGTCCACCTGGGCAACGTAAACGTCACCGAGAAGGAAGACAACGACAAGTTCAGGACTTTGCTGTTCATGATCCGGAAGCTCTACGCTCTTGTTGCTGGGGACTGTGCCGTCGACAACCCAGATGCCCTTCAGAACCAGGAGGTTCTTCTCGGAGGCTTCCTTTACGGAATGATTATCAAGGAACGTCTCGAGGAATTCTTGACTACCGCTGTCAGGCTGTCTTTGAGAGAATGGTGCAGAAAACACCCCGCCACGCCATTTACATCTCAAGAATTCGCCAGGGAATTCCCCGGAAACATCTTCAGACACGCCAACGAGAACGTCGGAAACGGATTGGAGTACTTCCTGTCCACGGGCAACTTGACGAGTCCTTCAGGTCTTGACTTGCAGCAAACGGCCGGTTTCACAGTCGTCGCGGAAAAGCTCAACTTCCTCCGTTTCATCAGCCATTTCCGAATGATCCACAGAGGAGCTTTCTTCGCCGAGCTCAAGACCACAACGGTTCGAAAGCTTTTGCCCGAATCCTGGGGTTTCATGTGTCCAGTACATACTCCCGATGGTGCTCCCTGTGGCCTGCTGAACCATCTGGCACACAAGTGTAAGATTATGACCGAGTCTGTCGATGCTTCCAAGATTCCCGCCCTTGTGACGGAGCTGGGCGCCGTGCAGACCTCTTCCGCTGCGACTGACGAAAGCGTCGTCATTATGCTTGACGGCAGGATCATCGGCTTCTGCACTCCTCGCGAGTCCCTGAGAATCGCAGATACCCTGCGGCACTGGAAGGTCGAGGGTTCCCACGGCGTGCCTCTGCAACTCGAGATTGGATACGTCCCTCCCTCCCACGGCGGCTCTTACCCCGGAGTCTACTTGGCGTCTGCGCCCGCACGTATGGTCAGACCCGTCAAGTATCTTCCTTTGGATAAGGAAGATTTTGTTGGGCCCCACGAGCAGCCATACATGTCGATCGCCGTTGTCGAGAATGAGATTGTTTCCGGAGAAACAACGCATGTCGAGTTCAGTCCTACGAATATGCTGTCTATTCTGGCGAATATGACCCCTTTCTCAGATTTCAACCAGTCACCCAGAAACATGTACCAGTGTCAGATGGGTAAGCAAACCATGGGAACACCGGGAGCTGCTCTGCGTCACAGAACCGACAACAAGATGTACCGGTTGCAAAGTGGCCAGACTCCCGTAGTACGATCGCCTCTGCACAACGCTTACGGTTTCGATAACTTTCCCAACGGCACGAACGCTGTCGTGGCGGTCATCTCGTACACTGGCTACGACATGGACGACGCTATGATCTTGAATAAATCAGCACATGAAAGAGGCTTTGGACACGGTACCATCTACAAGACGAAGAAGGTCAGCCTCAAGGACGAGTCGAGAACTAGGTCTGTGAAGAACATCACCAAGCTCTTTGGCTTCGCTCCCGGTGGCTTCGTCAAGGGGCACTACCGCGCCGCTCTTGACGAGGACGGGTTGCCATTCGTCGGCCGCATGGTCCAAGAAGGAGACGTCCTCTGCGCGTGGCACACGGTGTCAGCAGACTACAGCGGCAAGCTGATCAACCTCGACGGACAAACCCACTATGAGAAGTACAAGGAATCTGAGACAGCCTTCATCGAAGAAGTCCGCGTTATCGGAAGCGAGACGGGCAACGAGCCCGCTCAGACTGTTTCTATCAAGCTGCGAATTCCTCGATCTCCAGTCATCGGTGACAAGTTCTCCTCTCGTCACGGACAGAAGGGTGTTGCCTCTCAAAAGTGGCCAGCCATCGACATGCCCTTCTCTGAATCTGGTATGCAACCGGATGTCATTATCAACCCCCACGCTTTCCCCTCTCGTATGACAATCGGCATGTTCGTCGAGTCCCTTGCCGGAAAGGCGGGAGCCCTCCACGGTCTGGCGCAAGATTCGACGCCATTCAAGTTCAACGAGGAAAACACGGCGGCCGACTACTTTGGCCATCAACTGATGAAGGCTGGCTACAACTACCATGGTAACGAGCCCATGTACTCGGGCATCACTGGAGAGGAACTGGCGGCAGACATTTACGTCGGAGTTGTCTACTACCAGCGTCTCCGTCACATGGTTAACGACAAGTATCAGGTCCGAACGACCGGACCAGTCGTGCCAACCACGGGCCAGCCCATCAAGGGAAGGAAGCGCGGTGGTGGTATTCGTGTGGGAGAGATGGAACGTGATGCTCTGCTCGCTCACGGCACCGCCTTTTTGCTGCAGGACAGACTGCTCAACTGTTCCGACTACACAAAGACGTGGATCTGCCGGAGCTGTGGTTCTTTTCTCTCGGTTCAACCGACGGTCTCGCCGTTCGTGGGCAAGAAGAAGCAAGTCACGACGGTGCGATGCAGAAACTGCGCAACCCAGCTGGACGCCGGTGATGCTGTCAGTGCTGCCAAGGTCGAGGGGGAGATCTGGGAGGACGGACAGGGCAACCAGTGGGTTGGAGGAGAGAACACGACGATGGTTGTCGTTCCTGGTGCGCTCAAGTACCTGGATGTTGAGCTGGCAGCTATGGGTGTCAAGCTGAAGTACCGCGTCGATTCCCGCGACGCACCCCGCAAGGGCCCATTGAAGCCCATGTCATCATTACCATAGACGGCGTTTGGTGGACAAAAGAAGTCAGTCACCCCTGTAATTTGATTATGATTTATTCCAGACCCTATCCAATTCGCATGTGTTTCTCTCACCACGCGCCAAGCCTTGTCTGGTGAATGTAATATTCCGAGCTCGATAGCGTTCTTCGTGTGAAAGGCCGAAGGCCGAAGAGCGGTTTGACAAACATTGTTGCCCAGTGTCCGTACGGCCGTGCAAAAGATTCCCAGACCGGATTGGAAATCATGTCATTTGCGATATGCAGGTAACCGATTCCAGCAGACTTTGGAAATGACACTCGTATCACGAAACACCGGTAGCCGTCGTACAAAGGCATGGAGATCGGTTACCGGCTCGGCCTAGGCAACGCTGCCACCAAGCTCTGGATTCAGAAGTGCAGATGCTGACTGCCCTTGCACCTCAGGTACGTTCTGGCAATGGGCCACCGTTTAGTAACGTGACCAGAATACCTTACTTCAGAAGCAAGGGGGTTGCCTCAGAAGACAGCAAACAGCCCACGAGGATATAAGTGATGTCTGATGGTCAAACGGTTCCGCGCATGCTCAGCTGATGATCAATTGTGTTGTGGGGTTGTTTCGAGGGGGCACCCGATGTAAACCAACACAATGGAGGAGGTTCCGAGGGGCTCGCGGATACAGCCTTCAGGCAGGTCGTCTCGCGGACGCTTGCTTTGGTTGAAGTAGTCCTGGCCAGGGTACTTCTATGGTATAGCTACCTAGCCGTCCTTGCCGACAAGAAGGCGCAAGACCCCTTCTTTTCTGTTGGCTGGCTGTAAGTAGTCGGCGCGTGCCTCAGCGCGGTAGATCTTCTGGGGGCACTTTCTTCACTGAGATGCTTCCTTGTCAGAAGAAGCAACGCCGGGGAAACAATCTAAATTAACCTGGCAGCTGTGAATGGCGCGGATACAGCGTGCCACACTCGCCTCGTGCGCTTGGCCTTCATCGAAATACTTCACGTCTCGGCCGCGTTCGTCCCCACCGCCTGACTTGATATCTTTCCTCCCACTCCCCGCCAGTCCTTTGCCCACCTTCCACCGTCTGTCTGTACAATGGCGGATTTGCTCAGAGGAACCATCAAAGCATTCTGCAGTTTTTGAAGCCCACGATCTTCTTGTCCCACACAGGGGAGTCTTCCGTAGTTCAGGTTCCATCGTTTTGATCAGCTTGAGCGACATACCTCTGCAACTGCAACCACAACTGCCGGTTACCCGCCTCCATCCCTCTGATTCAAATATCACTTCCACCTCGGTCCAAGGCCCACGCATATCGTCCTTCAATCCGCTTGAATACAACCAAGCCCGCGTGGCAATGGAGTCTCTTATCGCCCTCTGGTCGTTCATCATTCTCTTCGCGGCAGCTGCCACGGCAGTCCCGTACTCGCCCACGTACAATTACGGCTTCGATGCAGCAAATTTGGTTAAACGCCAAACACAAGACCCTATCGTTGTCACAAAGCTTCCCCTCGCCAATGGAACTGTGCCCGTTCGTCCTGAAATCAGGCAGATGAAGCAGAACCCATACAAATGGAATCTGTTCTTGCTCTCCATGAGCATGCTTCAGTACACGAATCAGAACGACGAGCTCTCGTGGTACCAGATCGCAGGCACGTTTATTCGCTCAACACTCGAGCCAAATCCTAACACCAGACAGGTATTCATGGAGTCCCTTTCGTTCCGTGGAACGGCGTTCCAGGTGCTCCCGGGATCGACGATAGGGGCTATTGCACCCACATGTCCATTCTTTTTCCTCCATGGCACCGCGTCTATCTCGCCCTGTACGAGGTTAGTGAAGGTCAGGAGTCGCAGTACGTGTACATACTAAGTCCCAACCAGCAAGTTCTCTTTCGCCTGGTCCAAATGATCGCTACCTGGTTCACGGATCCAAGCGAGCGTGCTTTCTATCATGCCGCCGCGGCTGATTTTCGCATCCCGTACTGGGATTGGGCTGCTCCACCGCCGGCCGGGGAAAGCGTGTTCCTCCCTGACTTCGAATCCGAAGGCATTCAGATATATGGCCCCAACGGTTGGCAGTACATTGCCAACCCGCTTTACAGCTACAAGTTCAATCCGCTGGATCCCAAAGTTTTCTCCCAAGGCGATGTAAGCAAACAATCAGCAAGCACTTGACGGAGAGGTGCGGGAGCTAATCCAAGCAGTTCCCGAACTGGACAGAGACCAAGCGAGCGCCGTTTGAGAAGACTGACAACCGCAGCGTGGCGCATTCCATCGAACATGCGAGACCGGCTTTACAGCAGAGACTATACACTCTATTGTCAAATTATAAGGACTACGGACCCTTCAGCAACAAGTATTGGGGCACAGCCACCAACCAGTCGCAATTCGACTCGGTCGAAGCGCTTCATGACGCGATGCATGTTTTGGTTGGCAACCGTGGCCACATGTACTACATCCAATATTCAGCCTTTGACCCCGTGTTTTTCCTTCACCATGCAATGGCGGACAGGATAGTCACGATGTGGCAAGCTTTATACCCAAACTCGTGGGTGACGGCCCAGGTCGCGATGGAGCATTCTTTCACCATGCCACCTGGAGAAGTCCATGACGTATTCACGGAGCTCAAACCCTTCTTTGCAAATGCCAGCGGCGCATTCTGGAACTCGGAGATGGCAAACGACACATTGCACTTTGGCTACTCATACGCGGAGACCATTCCTGGACAGGGGGGGGCCAAGTCTGAAGATCGTACCCGCCTCATAACGGCAATCAACAGGCTCTACGGATCATCCAGCCCTTCAACCCTCGTTCAAAAACGCAAGAGAGCCCTTGGGAGACGAGATCGTGGGAAGTTTTCGCAACTTCGACAAGGCACTTTGTCAGATGATGTGTCACCAGACTTCTCACGCGAGCCTCACGTTGCTGCCAGTCTTGTGACTGACGATTACACATACACAGAGTGGATCGCCAATGTCCACGTACAGAACGGCGCACTAAACGGCTCGTTTACTATCCATTTATTCATGGGCGCAGTTTCTGGAGACATTATTTCTTGGTCGGCGGCACCGAATCTGATTGGGTCGATGAATGTCTTCGCCATGAAGAACATGGGATCCGCCAACCATGTATCGGGAACGGTCCCATTAACGTCAGCTTTGATGCACATGGTATCTGCAGGAGGCGTGGCAGGGCTTGATCCAGGCCAGGTCGAGCCCTACTTGAAGACGTTTCTTCAAGTCCGCGTGATTGGAGAGGACGGAGAAGAGGTTCGACCTGATTCTGTCGTGGGTCTCTGCGTCCAGATCGCGAGTTCTGAGGTCCAGGCAGCAAGGAACGAAAGGGAGCTTCCGGTTTGGGGTCCGGTTATTGAAAGGTTCGAAGTGAACTTTGGTTGATGCTGTTCCGATCACGATGATTGATCAAAGTAAAGAATTGATTGGGAGGGGCTTTTTCGGGCTTTTTCAAGTAGATTCTTTCCTCGAGATACTCGACGTTTAATGCGTAATTTTCTTGTCTGAATGTTGCCTCGCCTAATCTTCGTTCATCCAGTGTCGAATTTGGCCTCAATCATTGCCATGCCATGGACGAATAAAGTGAATGTGGCAGGTGCACCGGTACATAGGTACATACTTTTTGGAACATAAGCCACAGCTGCATCTATGCTGCGCCCCAGCCATGCTCTATTGGCCCCACTTCCCAGATACGGGCTGGGAACTTTTCCGAAGCTTCAGCCTCTCCTGCTTCTGCGGCTTAGGAGTCAACTGGTCCACGCAGGGTCGCGACATCCTCCTTCTCACCCACACTATCCCAATCCACACGCGACGTACGGAAGCCGCCAACATGAAGCTCGTCAGGTAAGTATTCAAAGCCTTCTCCCCTCATCGTACTCGGTCTGTGTGCTGAGCTTCCATCGCAAAAGACCGCCATGATCGAGGACCGCCAGAGCTGACATGGACTGCCCACCACCAGATTTTTGATGAAATGCGCCAATGAAACGGTGACAATTGAACTCAAGAATGGTTAGTGTGTTTCTTTTCTTTTTTGTCCTTCCAAGAAGCACGAAGTTTGCGGTAGGACTCCTGATTGAGGACGACTGCTGACGCGATTGCACGTAGGCACCATCGTCCACGGCACCATCACGTCTGTCTCGCCCCAGATGAACACGGCGCTTCGTACAGTCAAGATGACGCCCAAGGGTCAGGACGCCGTGTCGCTCGACACCATGAACATCCGTGGCTCCACCATCCGATATTTCATCCTGCCCGACTCGCTCCCGCTAGACACGCTTCTCATCGACGACGCGCCGAAACCCAAGAACAAGGCTCGCAAGGAGGCTGAGCGCGGCACCGGCGGCCGTGGAGGCAGAGGCGGCCCAAGGGGACGTGGCCGTGGCAGGGGACGCGGTCGTGGTCGTGGTTAGATGGGGTGAGGTCTGTACGAGGCAGAGGGCGCTTCCAGGGTCTGCAGATGAGCATACGCACACTCACAGCCAGTTACGACGGGCGCGGCTGAGAATGGATGATCCACGTGCTATCGCCGTGGGAGATGACTGCAGATGCCTGGGACCGACTTGGAAAGGGGGGGAAAGATCGTCGCGGGACCCCCGGAGACGAAACCCGCGACTTACTTTGCAGTTCGGCCCAGAGCACAAAAAGTATCATATGCATCAAGTTGAACCGGGTGCTCTTCAGGCGTTGGGGAAGATAGGGAAATCAAGACTTCAATTCCACCATGAACCTTTGACACCGCGGTGGTAACGGTGACGCTTGAACACCTAGAGTGCGTGGTGATTGATGGATGCCGAAGTGGACTAAGCTTTGTTCAAGTCGAGAGAACCATGGAAAAGAGGTTGCCAGTAACTTTGTTCCACGGTGTCTACTCATCAGCTCTCCATACCCTAATGATCTGCAATTTTTCCCATCCGGCTTGCTTCCCGCTCTCGCCGACTGTGACAGCTCTCCAACCGTTTCCCAATCCCTCGATGCGGTCCTTGACCTGTTGCGGCTTGTTCTGCGCGCATAAGAGAATGTAGGCGCATCCTCGAGCAGAAAGCACCGAAGGCAAGGCCTCGAGCAGCCTTTCCGTCGTCTCCATGCCGTCCTTGCCGCCCGCGTATGATAACGAGAGGAAATACGAGTCCTCGTCAAAGGTCGTTTTCCTCTCGCCAATCCTCAACGTGTCCGACGACTGGTCGGGCAGCTCTGAGGAAGGCACGTACGGCGGGTTGAAGACGAGAACGTCGACGACGCCGTCGCGCAGCGGGGATGCCAAATCGCCCATCATGGCACCGAGCCAAGCGTGGCAGCCCGTCTCCTCGTTCTCCTTGCGCGCGCGCTCGACGGTGCCGTTTGTCGCGCGACATGCAAAGCCGTTCAGGTCCACGCCCGCCGTCAGGACGTTGCGGGTGCCGAACAGTCTCTCGGCCTGGGCGGCGACGAAGCCTATGACCACGCCCGAGCCGGTGCCGACTTCGACCACGAGGGGCGCGGCGGTGCTGTTCCCGCCAAGGCGGGAGGTGAGGAAGGCTGTTTCCGAGGGCGCAGAGATGGTGTCGAGGAGGAGATATGAGTCCTCTGCCGGTTCGTAGACACGCTCAAAGGGCACATGGGATGTGTCTGGTGTTGGAAGCATGTTCGATCGTCTGTGATTTGTGTCAGTGCGTGTGTCTAGTGAGCGGTTCTCTATGAAACCTTGAGGTGTAGCTTTCGACAGGACACGTCTTTTGGAAACGGGGTCGTCTCACTATTTGCTTTATGATTAATAATGGACGGTCTGCTGTCGCTCCAATGGCAGTTATATCGAGTCGGCGTCGACCCTGAGAGCCAAAAGCGCTGCGTGGTTCGGCGGGTTGAAAAAAAGCCTAGTTTGTGTCAAATCTCGGTCTACCAAAAGGTGGGGTTTTGACTGTATATGGTTTGATGCCCCAAGATGGAAATCGCCAACTGTAATCACTTTGATACGAAACGCCATAATTTATTTTGAAGTTTTATATTCATTGAAATGTTGAGGTTTTGAATATATACAAAGAATTCCAACAAGAGAACTGACGCCATAGATAGGCGAAAATCGCTTCTAATCGATGATACCGTCGGGCAAGAAGCTCACGTAGTCTAGAGGGGCCACCTCTGGCCCGTCTGGAGTTCCGACAATCTTGAGAGTGTCTCCCTTCTCAATCTTGACCCCGGGGAAGTTGATACGAATGGCTGAATGTCCATCCAGGTACTCCGATGGCCAGTGACCCAGCTTCTCCTCCCCGTCTCCCCTCCACTGGCCAACGACTTGGTCGTTGATATAGGCAACAAACGAGCATTTGCCCCTGATGACGTCAAAGTAATTGACAGCAAGAGTGTAAGTTCCAGACTCAAAGTCGACGACGGCTGTAGCAGTTCCGGCAGTCGTGTTGGAGCTGGTGACAATGGCCTTGTAGCCGGACGCCGTCTCGAAGGGGTCAACATTCACAACCTTGTATCCGTCCAAAGTCATGCTCTCGGCCTCGATGCGGTACTTGTAGTTGCCCACACGGCCCGCCTCATCGGCAATGCTGGACTTGTTCCAGTAGAAGTTGTTGATAGCATCACGCCACACAATGGAGTGCCCTGCTTGATACTTGAGCTTGAAGAGGATATGCTCGTAGCGCTCGGCATCAATCTGGTCCTTGAGAGACTCCCACATGGATACAAACGTCTGAGCAGTGGCAGCACCGTCGTAGTGTGCATCATAAAAGTGCTGGATGACGGTCTTTCCGCTCTTGAGCACGTGAGTGTAGGGGACGTGGTGGAACCAGAGGAGGAGGTCGTCCGGTGTGGTGTCAATGTTCTCATACATCTCCGCCACCTCTGTCGGGTACTGTCCAGCGTTACCAGTGCCATTCTCGACTGTTCGGTCCATGCCGATGCTGAATCCGTCCGCTCTGGTCCACTGGCCCCAGCCGTTGTTGTCCTGAGATCTATAGATGAGGTTAGTGAATACAGCACTGGTAAGGCAGGAGGCTGGCACGAGGAAAGACTCACCTAGGCGACGGCCCATAATGAGCGTACAGAATATCGGTCAGCGTCTGGATTCCCAGGTTGCCGCTGTAGCTCTCGTACGCATGCCAACTCTCCATGGACATCTTGGTGATGGTGTCGATGACGGTGGGGTCCAGACCGAAGGTCAGACGGGTCCAGTCCTCAACAATGGTGGTAACATCATCAGTCGGGTTCCACGCTAGTCGGCCGTAAGCATAGAGGTTTGACATGGCGAGGTGACTACCCAGCCAAGTAGAGTTGGCACCGACATTGACAACACCAGCATATCCGGTTAGAGTCTTGTTGAAGCGCTTGCCCGAGAGAATGTCGTGCATCACGGAGGGCTGCCCTCCGATGCGCAGATCGAAGTCCAGGATGGTCTTCCACAGAGGAGGGAGGTAAACGAGATGATCCTGTTGCCCGAGGTATTCCTGCGAGATCTGCAGCTCGATAGCCATGTTGGTGTGCTCCAGGTTGGCAAAGAGAGGCGACACAGGCTCACGGACTTGGAAGTCGATGGGGCCATACTTGATCTGTACAACGACATTGTCGTCGAACTTGCCGTCCAGCTCCTTGAAGAATTCCACAGCCGCGTTTGCTCGGTCCGCGTGCCAGTCTGTCCAATTCAGTTGATCGTAGACAAAGGCACGGAACATGACGATGCCCTGCTTGAAGCCATGGTTCTTCAGCTCCCTGGCAAAGAGGTTGGCACCGTCCGCGAGGGTTCTGTTGTATGTTATGGGGCCAGGCTGGCCCTCGGAATTGGCCTTGACGAGGTATCCGCACATGTCTGGGATGCGCGAGTAGAGCTGCTCGGTGATGTTGCCCCACCACGCAATGACAGTCTCGTCGAGGGGATCGAACGTCGTGAGGTTACCAAAGGTTTGCGGGGAAGCAAAGTTCATCGAGATGCCAATTTGGACGCCCCAGGGCCTGAAGGCATCCGCAATTCTCTTCAAGCCGTCCATGTTCTCCGAGGACAGGAGGATGGGGTTGGCGTTGACGTTATTCACGATGATGCCGTTAATTTTGGCTGAGGCTAGGAGGCGGCCGTATTGAGAGACGCGGGTCATGTCGGTAACAACCTTGAGGTTTTCGAAGAAGATGGAGACTCCTCCGTACTGCGAAAGTTAGCATGGGAGTGCTGACGGACAGTGATTCATGAGACAGAGGGACTTACACCACGCTCGATGCTGCCGTGAGTTCCGGTGCCATCCATGTTATCCCACTGGTTGGCCCAGCGAATCTTTGCAGACGGGTTGGTCGCGTACGCAACCTCACTGAAGTTGCCTTGAGCAAGCAAGCTCAAGTACTCAAAGGCACCGTACAAGGCGCCCCTCTCATTCTGACCTAGAATCTTGACCGAGTCGCCCTTGACGCTCAGCCAGAAGCCATCTTCGACGAGGTCCGCTGTGACACTGTCGGCACCGCAGGCCGCAACGTAGGTGTCGAGGGTGGCCACGACGATAGAAGAACCATTGCAAGCATCGCTGCCAACTGTGACCTCCTTGCCGAGAATGCCTTTGTACCCCTTTTGCAGCTCGGAAAGGGCAGAAGTAATCGGACCGTTCTCCGTGGCGTTGAGTCCAACTACGGCAGAAGGAAGAAGAGCGTTCGCTGCGCCTGCCGACTCGGGGAGTCTGGCGTAGCGCAGCCAACCGTCGAGGCCATCCTCGGCGACAACGAGGCCGACGATGGACGCGAGGAGAAGAGACGTCCGCATGGTTGGTGCCGCTGGAGAAGAAAGCCAGTTGGAGAAGCGCTTGCTCTACCAAGCTCCCGTGGCAACTCAGGGTGGCATGGTGTTATAAAGCCAGCTCCAAGCGCGTCATGGGTAGCCATCCAGATCTGCGAACTCGCAGCGAACGACTCCCGGAACCCAGCATCGGGGCATTCCCGACCGGGGCAGACAGTGGTAATGCCACTATCGCATTCAGGCTAAAAGGGCACTCGGTATTCATCCATGGGCTTGGAGTGGAGAGCCCTGGAAGCAGGTACGGACATCAGTCGAAATAAGTCCAGATGGACCCGTCAAGAGTGTGACCCTTCATTTGGAGTCTAAACCGCGACGTGCGGAGAAATTGGCGCTAGCGGAGAGGGGAGAGGCTTGGACGAGAAAAAACAGCCCAGAGTTGGGTTGAACATGACCCGAGCAGCTCTTGATTTACATGCCCTGAGCCTAAAGCTATGTTGAATCAGTTGACGGGTCAATCAACATGGAGAAAGGTTCATGTAGCCTTTTGCAGCCGTCAGGGCACCTAGGTCGATGGCGAGCAGGCGACCGGAGCAGAGAAGAAAAGGGGGATGGATACTGCTGTGATTGAGTTCAGACGGTTCTTTTCGTTCTCCCCCGCACGATGCAAAAAGACAGCGCGGGGTGAATCGGGGAAAAGCTACAGCGTGTGGGGGAGAAGAGTTCGGGCGGTGAACCCCAGCTGCGGTCCACTAAGGTATTAGGTAGTTTACGCAGTGGATGAGGTAGTACCTCGGGTGCTGCGGACATGGCTTCCCAGTGTGTCTGTTTACGTAGCATTGCTCGCAGCGGTCTGCTGTCCAAGTCCTTGGGAATGTAGATCACCAGTTCAGCCTGCAATCTTACTCAAGTAGAAATGTTAATTTCATGACTCGGGATGTGCAAAGCTGTGAATCTGGACGGGATCATGCCGCTTGTTCGGCGCTCCTCGACCCCCCCCTCGGTCTAGCTCCTCCGATAGACTGGGTCCGCAAGAACCCCAACTGGCCCCAGTATCAACGCCGTCTACTGCATACTGCGTCCCTTATCCCTTGCCAACCCGGATAATGTAAACCTCTCCATCTGTTAAAGTCGCCAGACGTCGTCATCGGATCTTGGCCCTGCTCAATTACCCGTCAGCTCGCAAAATTCGGCCCCAGCCGCCATCCTCTTTCCTTACCTCCATGCTCTCTGTCCCTGCCCGCAACCCTCGGTTTCGGCCTCCTCACATGATGGCGCAGGCGCATTCGATGCCTGCATCCTGCTTGTTGGGACCCGTGCCAAATTTGATGCCGTTGGTAATCTTCTTAATCATCCGAATCTGGTTGCGGTCGTAGAGTCCGAGGAGGTCATGTTTGGGGCACGGCCGCAGGTTGGCGAGCTGCATTCGCAGAGGCTTTTTCGCGATGCCACTTCCGAACTGGCCGCATGTCGTGTAGCCCATTCCGGGTCCGCAGGAGACTGCAATCTCACCCCAGATGCACTTGCACTCGACGTGCTTGTAGATGAAAACTTCGCACATTCTTCTTGCGTAGGTTCGCTGTCTAGGAACGTGGTGCATCAGCCTGGGTAGGTGGGTTTTTCAAGGTTGCGCTTGGTTTGGATACAAAGTGCCCCGTCAGCTATATGAGCGAGGTGAGAAAGGTCTAGCTACACCGTGGCAGTGAATGGCAGGAGCCGATCTTGAAGCCTCCTCCAGCCTTTCCGGACGAATCGCCGCAACTGAGTGACTTTTTAGCTCTAACTTGGAAGCACAAGATATACGCAGCCGTGCACATGATGTCATATGGAATAAATGTTTCACGAAGTTGCGGTTATTTCCTACTCATTCTGACAATACAACTGCTCCCACGGAAGGTTGGTCGGTGCCAGAGCACCCCAACAGCCGGGTGCTTCCAGAGCCCAGCTTACTGAGGTGACTGGGTCAATGAGGCATCCATATCACGGAGAGTGCTGCTCTCCCCGGTGCCAAAGTTCTTATCCGAGTAGTCATCAGATCCCACCATGCGTGTCAACAGACTCTCGATTCTGGATGTCGTCTGCTCCAGCGCCTCCAACCTGCTGTTAACGTCGTGCATGTCTTCGCTGCCCGTGAAGGATCCTCGCAGCTTCGACGAGACCCCTGGAAACATCGAGTCTCTCCTAAGAGGCGACTTTTTGCGCATCGTGTCATTCGTGATCGTCCTCGTGAATTGGCGTCGGATCATGTGGTGCGTAAAGTCGTCGTCCACAGCGATTTCCTCTTCCACGGAGTCGGGGGGCGGCAGGTCAAACACGGCTCTTATGTCGCGATGGGCCGTTATGCGCCACTTCTCCCAGAACCATTGCTTGACCCTGGGGTACAGTGTCAAGGCCCCGCCGCCCTTGGTCTTCTCCGGCGGCGGGGGAGGCCACAAGATTCGGCGTTCTGCCACAGCGATGATGAGTAGCAGCGGGAGGTTGACCAGTCTGACGCTCGCTACGTGTATCTTATGAAACCATCGCGGGCCGAGGACGAATTTCAACGGAAGCAGAAGAAATACGGCCAAGATGTTGAAAGGAGGCTGGTAGGCGAAAATAGCATCGCCCTTCACTCCCTCCAACGTTAACACAGCTTTCCGAAACTGAATTTCTGCTGTTGCGTTCTTGACGATTGTGCTGAAGGTGTTGGAAAGCATCGATACGAGAATCGTGAGGAAGAGAGTGTTTCCCAAAAACGCAAATGCTACCATCAAGACTGGACCCAACAGGGGGTGAAAGTCGGCCTATGTCGTGAGTCAATCGATGTGGTCCGGAGCACGTCAGTAAACTTACCGATCGCGATATGCCGGTGCCGTCGAGCCCGAACCAGATCCACAACATCCACTTGCCAATCAGACTACCCCGAGTATGTCAGTATGCATATTGATACAGCGTTGGTCAGGCTGGCTTACACAGGAGCATGCTCGCCTTCTCCAGGCGGGCCCTCGCCGAGCCATAGAAGTGACAGGAGAAAGCCTCCAAAACACCAAGCTGATAAGAATGTCAAGAGAACAAAGTCCGACATCATGGAGCGTAGAGAAAGGAAGACAAGGTTGTCTGAAAGCAGGTTAAAAGCAAGCCGCGGCACTAGAACGGGGGCACCCATGGCTAGCACGTCGAGCGCCTGTTGCTTCGGCACCAGCTCGCCAGTACGGCCGCCATGGATACGAAGAACCGCATATATGGCGTAAAGACCGATGAAGCCCACGTCGAGGAAGGACCACAAGTTTTGGGTGTAAACGTGCCTGTCTGAAAGTCAGCAACAACATTCTGTTCCCATGGGTCGTCCACGCACCATCCGTGTTCCAAGATGGTCGCGAATTGGTCAAGAGACCATCCAAATGCAAAGACGGCGAAGCACCCCTCCAAAAGAGTGAAATGTTCGGGATTGCGCTCAGCCATTACAGAAAGGTAGAGGGCGAGCAGAACCATAAACTGGAAGACCTCGAGAATGTTTCTTGTGCGAGGCACCAGCAGCCGATATTGGTCGAGCAGAGGCCCCTCTCGTGGATTGTACAGCGAGATAGGCTTCAGCTTGTAATGATCTGGAATGATGTCCATGAAGCTGGAAGGGGTGTAGACGATCCGGCCTTCGTAGATGGCATCGACGCTTGGGGGACGGATTAGACTCTTTCAAGGCCCGACGAGCAAAAGAATACTCACACTTTCTGACAAGGGGTGGCGCTGAGGAAGTGTTTACTCTCAGTCAAGATAGCAATTTCCAGCGATGGCAGCATGCGATTGTAAGACCGATAAGTCTCAGTCGAGGCTGCCTCGCGAATCCCAGCCGGAGCATTCTGAAAGGGTTCGAATCCGGCGACCAAAATGTGCGATAGCAAGACGAGACCCTCTGGGCCGTCATTGTCCTCGCTGAAGCGTCTCAAGATACGCGTTGCCACGAGCTCACACAGCGTTGCACGACTGTAGTTGACATTTTGACGGCTGTTGAGGTGTGACTGCTCATGGAGAAACTGAGCGCGGTTGACAAGCAAGCAATAAACTGATGTCGAAACAAGTTAGCCAAGTCAAGGAAGGAAAGTGATGGCAGCCAAGGTGTGCCTTTCATCCCCTGAGAGGCATGTGAAGATGGCACGCGGAGACATCGAGCTGGACTCACCTATGGATATGTCATCAAGCTCGTAGAGTTTGTCAACTAGCGGACGGACAACGGCAATGTTGATTCTCACGTCACGGAGCTGCTCCAAGCTGAGGTAGTCCTCAACAATGGATATGATGTCTCTCCTGATGCGGTGGATATTGGTGTACACAGGCAGATGATTGTGAGGGTTGGTCATGCAGCCATAGAGCGGTACTTGAAACTGAGAAGCATGACTAGGGCGGTTCCGTTGCAGAAGCGGCCGTTCTTCCGGAAGCTGAAGACGCGTCCGGCGGCCACGGTCGGACATAGTAGTTTCTCGCTGATATGTGAACCCGGCGGCGAGGGTATGGTAGGCAAGGCGAGAATGCTCGGGGAACGGGATGTAACGCGCCTAGCCAGGGGTGCGGTGCAGCAAAGATATGCGTACGTAATGGTTGAAGCAAAGGATGTTTGACAGGTGAGGCCGGCGAGGACGGCGAGAAAACCAAGTCGGCCAGTCGCTTGGTCAGAGACACCGGACCGGGCCGGACCCAGGAGGTGGTAGACACTGAGTGGCAAGCAGAAGAAACCCCCACGCGGGTCGGCCGCAGTCCGAACGGTGTGGCTCGGGCTCCGAGATGGCTAGGTAACGAAGGGGTTTATGTCTGGCAAGGCATTCAGCAACGCAAGTGTTTCTGTCCGACAGTCTGGACTCTGCAGCAAGGGGACGATACGGTTGACGTTGCTGGTCGGCGGAGAACAATGTTGATATAGATGGAGGATGGAAGGATAGACGTGGGTACGCTTCGGCAGGACAGGGGGCGTCTCGTCTCCACGACCCCAGCGGGACGCTAAGAGATAGCACGCCTGCGTTTTTATTTGAATGCAAGCGCACGCTCGCGCGGGAGCCCGACAAGGTGGTCTGGGGTAGGCGATATGTCAGGCCAGGCGAGGTGAGGTAAAGACCAACAACGTAGGGAAGACTCTGTGCTTTGCATTCGTCAAGGGAAGGGAATGGATGAGCCTCAGACCTTGGCGCGAGGGAATGAGGAGTAAAGATGTCATGTGTTTGACGGCCCGAAGTCAATTGAAGACTTGTAGGTTGGCTGATCTTCGCAGGGAACCTAAGAATAAGAACGCTTGGAACATTTTATCTCTCTCATCGTCTGGTCTGGAGTTTCATGAATGACGACAAGCGCTCAGCGCAATGCCACGCCACGCGAACCCCTGTCAAGTCCGGACTGTCTCGTCCTTTCCATACTAGGCGTGCACCAGTTGCGGCCCAGCAGTGCGGTCTTGTGCTTTTGCCAAGGATTTTCTTTACTGCGGTACGTATTCCGTCCCCCCTCTCGACGATACAAGGTAACCGAACCGGCATTGGCTGACACTCCACGATACGAATGCCAATGCCAACTTTTCGTCCTGGCAATTCAAGGCCACACGGCCTAAGAGGATGTCTGCCGCAACTTTCTCGCTGCGACATGGCTCACCTTGCACCACACAGCCTGAAGCTCGACTTGCTGGTCCACAAGCTGAGTTGGCGGCTGCCCTGTGCTCCATCTCATCCTCTGTCGTGCTCCACTGCAGTACATGCTAGCTGGAAAGGGACGATCGAGATTAGAGCGCTGTATTACCTAAGGCGACCTTAACCTGCCCATACCAAAGGACCGCCGATGCTGAAGCGCCGCATACTGCGCCTATCTTGCGGTGAGCGACTGGCGGGGTTGCCCGACTTCACGTGTTGCCAGCTTGCCGCTCTCCATGGACATCCCCTGGCCAGATGCGGAGGCGACGTTGTCTTGCACATCGACAATTTTGCATTGCTTGATTGGGGAAATTGTACTTTTAGCATTCAAGTTAGGTAGGTACGGTAAGCTACGAGTTTCATCATCGGTGCTCCCATCCATCCCTCGCGTCTTTCTTTCAGCGCCAGGCATGTCTCATCAATTTTTATCCCATCCCCCAAGGCATATTGAATGAAGGAATTAGGTTTCGGTTTTGGTATTCATGTCAGGAAAAACTGACCCAGCTTACAGCTGGACAGCCTTGCGGAAGTTGGTACCGGCGTAGACGGCGTTGCTGCCAAGCTCCTCCTCGATGCGGAGGATCTGGTTGAGCTTGGCAAGACGCTCGGAACGGGCAGGCGCACCGGTCTTGATCTGGCCAGCGCGGATACCGACGACGATGTCGGAGATGGTGACATCCTCAGTCTCACCGGAACGGTGAGAAACCATGACACCCCAGCCGTCGGCGTAGGAGTCCTTGGCGGCCTGGATGGACTCGGTCAGGGTTCCGATCTGGTTGACCTTGAGCAGGAGAGCGTTGGCGGACTTGAGCTCAATGGCCTTCTTGATGCGGAGGGGGTTGGTGACGGTCAAGTCATCACCGACAATCTGGATGTCCTGGGTCTTGTAGAAGTAGCTCCAGGCCTCCCAGTCGTCCTCGGCGAAGGGGTCCTCAATGCTGACGATGGGGTACTTCTTGCAGAGGTCCGAGTACAAAGCCGCGAGCTCCTCGTAGGTGATCCACTTGGTAGGGTCGCTCTCGGGGTTCTTGAAGTCCAGGTCGTACTTCTTGGCGTCCTCCTTGTAGAACTCAGAGGAGGCAACGTCCATGGCAATGTTCATCTTGCCAGTGTAGCCAGCCTTCTCAATGGCATCGGTGATGAGGTCAAGAGCCTCCTGGGCAGTCTGGATATCGGGGGCAACACCACCCTCGTCGCCGACGTTGCCGGCGGACTGGCCGTACTTCTTCTTGGCCAGGCTCTTGAGCTGCTGGTAAACCTCGGCACCCTGGCGCATGGCCTCGGAGAAGGAGGGAGCGTCACTGGGCAGTACATGTCAGCCGGAGATCACATCCTCGCCTGTTCAGAGCTCTCAAGTCAAACTTACGAGGGGACGATCATGAACTCCTGGAAGGCCAGACGGCCACCAGCGTGGGAGCCTCCGTTGAGGACGTTCATGAAGGGAACGGGCAGGACGAAAGGCTTCTTGGTTCCGGCCAGGTCGGAGACATGGGCGTACAGAGGGACACCCTAGAGACGGTCAGACGAGGCAAAGCACACGATATTATGACGAGACCAACCTTCTCAGCAGCACCAGCCTTGGCAACAGCCAGGGAGACACCGAGGATGGCGTTGGCGCCGAGTTTGGTCTTGTTGGGGGTTCCGTCGAGGTCGATGAGGAACTTGTCGACCTTGGTCTGGTCCTTGACATCAAGGTTCTCCTTGATCAGGGCGGGGGCAATGATGCTGTTGACGTTGTCAACGGCCTTGGTGACACCCTTGCCACCCCACTTGGTCTTGTCACCATCGCGGAGCTCGCAAGCCTCGTGCTGGCCTGTTTAATGGATACCATCAGCCTTTGATCACTTCCATCTCTTCTTGGGGTATGATGAACCGGGGGAGGGAAAACGGCGGGGACGACGACGTACCAGTGGAAGCACCGGAAGGGACGATGGCACGGTGAAGGCCGGTCTCGGTGACGACGTCAACCTCGACGGTGGGGTTGCCACGAGAGTCGTAGACGTAGCGAGCGTGGATCTTGGTGATGGCCATGGTGATAATATGTGTAGTGTGTGATTCCTAGCGGAAGGAGAGGAGAGATGTTAGTCGATAGTTTGGGGGGAGGAGAAGGCTTTATATTGCAGGGAGCAGGAAAAAGACAAGTGGGTGAGTCAACAAATGGCAATGATAGGACCGATTCGGGGAAATTGCTAAGCTTGCGAGTGCTCCTTGACCGGACAAAACAATTGCCTCAGGGTGGGATGGCATGGTGGGGTGATTTTCTCGCAAGCTTCACGGCCAACGGCATACAGCTTTGACATGGCGGGGCAGCTGGTTTGATAGAGGGGGCTTGGACGTGGATGGAACACGACTTACTTGGGTGATTTTAGGATGAAGAAGCCGCGAACTGTACCTCAGCAATTGAGTTGGTGTGCAAAAATGAGGCTGCAGTGATGGAGGAGAGGGATGGTTGTGCCAAAGCAGTCGAGGGGAAGGGGACGAAGGTGGCAGAGGAGTGTTCAGTGTTTTGGAGGGGTCTTTCCCTTCCCACCCCACCTTGCCTACCTAAGGTGAGGTGAGCCCAGAGCGTGTAGGTATTCCCTGTCCAGCCCAGCCCCGGTCAGGTCAGGGTGCAGTCCATCCGGTAGGTAGAAAGGTAGGTACTGTAGGTACCTGCAAAGAGGTATCATGCCTTACCTACCTGAGGTACACCACCTCCTCAGCCCGGGGCTGCATTGTTGCTCGCACCTTCTTTTTGGTGGGTATCTCGACATCGTCCAATTGCTCGTTGGCAGCCGGACCCTAGAGAAGGCGGGGCATCGGCCCTGTTAAAGCGCTACATGGGTCTGGAGCTCCAAACAGGCCAAGAACGACCACAAAACAGCTTCGTTTCATGGTACCATTCTTAGCACCACCACCCAGCAAACACGACGACTGCCACGGCTTCTTTGGTGAGGGCCGCTCCTCAACAAACCGCGCATTAGAAATTGCTGCCCTGCCAATGCGACCAGACACGTTTCCGCTGTTGTCTCTCGCCATTGGGTCCTCATCTATTTTCGTCCCCAGCCACAGATCCAGCTTCAAAATCTCGCTTCACCCGTGCGCCTCCATGTCAAAAATCCTCGGTCCCGAACAGTGGCAGAAAGCTTTTGCCATTGGGTGTCTTGTCGATTGACACCTTTATGTCAGAACCATCGTCTGATTGGCCGCCCACACCAACGTCGTCTGCACAACGGCTTTGCAACCGTCCATTGTCGGGTGTCCAGTGGGCTCAATCTGGGCCTGATGCGTAAAAGCGCGTCTTCGACAATCTCCAGGTCCCGATTCCCGATCTTCAAGACGTCTTTTCCCCGGACCCCGGTCCAACGACGAGATGCTCATTGGCAATTCCCATCAGTGAATGGTCGTTTTACTCCACAAAACGCCTGGGACGCGCTGGCCGCCATGGATTATCCCGAGGATGTTGCTCGGAATAGCCAGGTGCTAATGCGGTTCTTCCCGATCATGGATCCCGACCCCGTCACCCCGTCCGGTAATGCCGGGGTAAGACATCTGTAGGCAAGTCATAGTATGGGAATTGGTACTTTTGACCTCTTTCTTTGAAGCCCAAGTGGGATGACGTTTGTTTTCTGTCCCGGGGAAGTGGTCCTTGGCGTGGGGAGTGGACGTCAGTCGTGTTTCCTCTTGGACTAACACCACCAACATGACTTCCTTTACCCGCGACTCGGCCGTCCTTTCGACCGAGCCGAAACTGATAGACAAAAACACACAGCATAAATGCGTTTGCATCTGCGAACATCCTTACAATCTACAGTTCAGTATTTGAACGCTGGCCCCGTTCTTTAGGGTCCGCCAATGCTGCATTCATACGCACTGGTTGTCCTGTGGATGCACGATATCTGGGGAACACCTCTCAGCTGAACCGGGATGGTGGCTATCCAGCCTAGATTTCCTGTCTTTGGACCGAATCACCGGCAGAAATTCGTCCATCTCCCAGATGTACCACTGTCTGATAAAATGGTGTGACCGAGATTCTCCGGACTCACAGCCTACCCAGCCCATCTGCAAGCCCCGATTCCAACCATGTCGCAACGCCTTTTGCCGGCGCACAATGGTCACAACTGTACAAACACAGCCCAACACAAACACTGCTTGCATGATACTTTCAGGCATGGACATGCAAAGTATCGTTGCTTCGGGCAGCCATCCAAAGTTAGCACGCGCACGCCTAGCACCGCTGGCTCAACGCGCAGAAGTGGTCACTAGCATTGGTCGTAGAATGCCTGGTGCACTCGTTTCCGGCATGCCCACTGGGACAGAGGCAAAGTTAATGATACTTTTGGGGGCCTCCAGGTTGTGAAGGTGGGCAGCGGAGTTACTCGCTGGACACCAATTCTTCAAGTGTTTGGTTGTCTGGTAAATGTTTATCCTTGTGGATGTTTTCCCACGCCAATGGCCGCACGTGGTCATTTCCTGGATTTCGCCCGGGCGACTTTCCGAACGGCGCCGTGGGTTCGGACATGGAAAACGTCACGGGAGGACCAGGGCAGAATCCGGGAGGATGGACGCTCGGAACGGCTGTGGGCCGGATCGGGTGGACGCGGCTTGGCGTGGAGCTCGGGCGGAGCAGAGAGCAGCACGGGTCGGTCACCTGAGGCAGAAGGTGGGGAGTCTTGGATTTGCGCATCCGGGCGAGCAGCGCGGCCTGCATCGGCGCATCCCCATGGCTGAGACTGGAGCCTCTGGAAGCTTTCTATCCCCCTTCCCCTCTCTGGAATTGGACCCCGCGTTACATGTACCTTCCTTAGACGTGCATAGCTTACCTTACCTCAGGTAGCTGGGTGCCCGAACTGACCGCTTTCGTTCTTTTGTTGCTCTGGCCCCCGCCCCCTCCTTCATGGCTTTCCGTTTCGTAACCAAACGTACGGTCGATTTGACATCACGCATCACATCGACCAGACGGCCACTTGCGCGCATGTGGGTTCTCCAGCTGGATTGCTCACCGGCAGCATACACCGCAGCAGGTATTCATTGGCTAACAACGAGCGATACAGACCATACCAGCTGAGAACATATAGTGCATTCTCAGCGCAACAAACCTCCACCTCCCGAGCTACCCCTCCCAAACGAAACGTTCGACTCCAAAATCCCCAGCGCCTCGCCGCCACACGACACTGCTCATTCAAACGAAATATGCGCAGGCACGGAGAAGCTGCCGGCGCAGGCACGCTGAACTACCCCAGGGAGCAGCTGCCCACCAACGTCGTCCCGCGCCACTATGATCTAACCCTCGAGCCCAACTTTGAGACGCTCAAATTCGACGGTCACGTCAAGATCGACTTTGACGTTGCCGAAGACTCAAACACCGTGTCCCTGAATACTCTCGACATTGAAGTCAAGCATGCCGCCCTGTCTCTGTCGGCCGAAGGCCAGCAAAAGAGCCTCAGTGACCCGGTCATCACCTACGACGAGCCCAAGCAGACCCACACCTTCGAGTTCAAGGACCGTCTCACAAAGGGCGCCAAGGGTACTCTCGAAATCAAGTTCGTTGGTGAACTGAACGACAAGATGGCTGGCTTCTACCGCTCATACTACCCCAAGCCTGACGGCTCCAAGGGCATTCTAGCTACCAGTCAGATGGAACCTACCGATGCTCGTCGGGCATTCCCCTGCTTTGACGAACCTGCGCTCAAGGCAGAGTTTACCGTCACCCTTGTTGCCGACAAGAGCCTGACGTGCCTGTCCAACATGGACGTTGCCGAAGAGAAGGAGCTGCCCGCGGGAAAGAAGGCCGTTCGCTTCAACAAGTCCCCCGTCATGTCGACCTACCTCGTTGCCTTCATCGTCGGAGAACTCAACTACATTGAGAACAATGACTTCCGGGTGCCTCTTCGAGTCTACGCGCCTCCCTCCGAGGATATTGAGCGAGGACGCTACGCGCTGGAGATTGGTGTCAAGGCTTTGGAGTTTTACGAGAAGGCGTTCGGTCTCCCCTACCCCTTGCCGAAACTCGACCAAGTTGCCATTCCCGACTTTGCCGCTGGAGCCATGGAAAACTGGGGTCTCGTTACCTACCGTACTGTCGAGGTCCTTTTCGATGACAAGACGAGCGGTGCCGCAGCCAAAGAGCGTGTCTCAACCGTCATCACCCATGAGATTGCTCACCAGTGGTTCGGAAATATTGTATCTCCCGATTGGTGGCACGCTTTGTGGCTGAACGAGGGATTCGCCGAGTTTGCATCTCGCTACTCTCTGAACGCGTTCTTCCCTGAGTGGAAGCTCAAGGAGTCTTTCGTCAGGGAGGATCTTCAAGCGGCCCTTGGCCTCGATGGCCTCAGGAGCAGCCACCCCATCGAAGTTCCCGTCCACAAGGCCGAGGAGATTAATGAAATCTTTGACAGCATCAGCTACGCCAAGGGCTCCTGCGTCGTTCACATGATTTCAGCCTTCCTGGGCGAGGATGTCTTCATGGAGGGCGTCCGTAAGTATCTCAAGCGACACGCGTGGGGAAATGCCACGACAAACGACCTGTGGCAAGCTCTCAGTGAAGCCAGCGGCAAGGATGTCGGTTCCATCATGAACATCTGGACCCAGAATGTTGGTTACCCTGTCGTTTCCGTTACCGAGACGGGCAACTCGATCAGCGTGGAGCAGCACCGTTTCCTAACTACCGGAGATGTCAAGCCCGAGGAGGACAAGGTCCTCTATCCCATTTCTCTCAATGTCCGCACCAAGGGCGGTGTTGACAAGGACTTGATGCTCACGACCCGCGACGCCAAATTCGAGGTCGCGGACGCCGACTTCTTCAAGATTAACGCCGACTCCACCGGATTCTACCGTACAAAGTACGGCATTGACAGACTCGAGAAGCTTGGCAATGCTGCTGAGCTTCTCTCCGTCCAAGACAGAGTTGGCATCGTGGCTGACACCAGTGCGCTGGCTACTTCGGGTTACCAGAAGACGTCTTCTTGCCTGGGTCTGTTCAAGGCTCTGAGCAACGCCGGCGAGGCAGAGTACCTGGTTTGGGACCAGATTCTCACTCGCCTTGGGTCCATCAAGATGGCATGGATCGAGGATGAGGAGGTTGTCGACAAGTTGACCGAGTTCCAGCGCAACATTGTCAGCGGCATGGCCCACAAGCTAGGCTGGAAGTTTTCCAGCGCTGACGGCCACGTCGAGCAACAGTACAAGGCCCTCATATTTGGTGCGGCCGGTATGGCCGGCGACGAGAAGGTTCTTGCCGCGGCGCGGGAGATGTTTGAGAAGTTTGCGGCTGGAGACAGGACCGCCATTCACCCGAACATCAGAAGCTCCGCGTTCTCCATCGTGCTGAAGTATGGTGGCGAGAAGGAGGTGAGGTTCTGGTCCTTTTCTTGCGATTCATCAACTGACCAAAATGCTGTAGTACGATGCCGTACTCAAGTACTACGAGACCGCTGAGACGAGCGACGAACGCAACAGCGCCCTGCGCACGTTGGGACAGGCTCGTGACCCTAAGCTCAGACAACGTACTTTGGATATGCTGCTGAGCGGCAAGATCCGCGACCAAGATGTGTACATCCCCATCGGCAGCCTGCGGTCTAGCAAGAGTGGCATCGAGGCTCTGTTCGACTGGATGCAGACGAGGTGGGACGAGATCTACACCAAGTTCCCTGCCCAGTCTTCCATGATCGGTAGTATCGTTAGCTACTGCACCAGTGGCCTCACAAAGCAAGAGCAGCTGGACCAAGTCGACAAGTTCTTTGCCGCAAAGGACAAGAAGGGTTACGTTCGAGCGCTGTCGCAGTCTACCGATTCCATCAAGGCCAAGATTGCATGGACCGCCCGTGACACGGAGGATTTGCGCAAGTTCTTGGGTATCTAGGGTTGAAGACGCCGTGCTATGAGCGGTTTGAGTGTTATAAAGGTCATGCCGCACAGCTGTTCAGAGACAGCCAAATAACCAAAATAATGAATTCGTGTAATTGTTTGGATTCCCAGCCGTGCGACCCAATTGCTCGATGCCTAGTAGGGACACGAACAGTGCAGCCCTGGTCGTAGTTGCTCACTGTCCAATCTCGAGCAGAGAGCGCTGTAGTCATGATGTTCTTCACCGTTGTGGACTACACTCAACCAAAACCCAAGGTCGGCGGTGGGCCCCATACAGGCTTTGCGTCAGAGGGGCTTGTACCCAGTGCGCAAGACACAAATCTCTGGTGTGCACCAAATGACTCCCTCTCACAGACATCCATTCGTCACAACACTCGTCAACCTGGTTGAATACTCGGAGCGGCCGCTGTCAGATTCGCTGCAGGACCGTCCAACTGCTTCATTCCCACCATGGCAGCCCCTCGCCTAGCTTCCTCGTGGCAAGTCCGCGCCGAGGCCGGCGAGCCCTTCGCCGTGATCCGCGTCCGCGACCTGCAGGGCACCATCCAGGCCGGGACCGACGCCTGGGGCCGCGAGAACAAGTCGCAGCCGGTCCGCGTGTCGGCGGAGCTGTCCATGGCTAGCCCTTTTGACGCCGCGTCCTCCTCGGACCGTGTCAGCGACGACACAGTGCATTACGGCTTGCTCGCCAAGGCCATCCTCTCTAGTCTTGGGGGTATCAACAAGAAGGTACAATCAGCCGGCAAGCCCTCACATATTCGCCTCCGGGACGCAGTTGGTCAGATCTGGGCCGATCTGACCGGCCTCTCTCTCGATGGACAGTGTGTCCCTGCCGAGGAGGGAAGCGTTGGTTTCTTGCGGGATAGGCTCTCGCTGGTTCGGTTCATGAACCTGAACGTCACGATGCCCAAGGCGTCTCTCCTCGGGAGCGCTGTTAGTCTGTCAGCGTCCGCCGTCTTCAGTCCCCAAGGGGGCCCGTCACCGGTCGATGTACGCAGCTCTTGCCTTCGCCTTCACGATCTGCGGGTGCCCACTCTTATTGGTGTAAACGACAATGAGAGACTCGCAAGGCAGATTCTTGCGGCGGACGTGGAGATTGAGCAGTTTGACGTGTCCGAAGACGTGTACGTCGGCATTGAGTCTATTGTTGTAAAGGTCAGTCTATCTCTTCTCTCTTGTATTTCTAATCCCTGGTCGTTTTAAACATTCTCCTATGCCCGTCTACAGAATGATAGCCTAACATTATCCGGGGCAAAGACGCTATCAGACTCGTCCTTTGAGACTCTCGAGGCCCTTGGCCCCGCCATCACACAGAGCATCCGCAAGAATATCAAAGGCGTTGCCGCGTCCTCTGCCTCGCAGGCACCGGGCTGGGTTATCAAAGTGGTGATGGAAAAGCCGACGGCCATTACAATGGCCGAGGCCTCGCGCGTCGAGTACAGAGAGCTCGTCAGTGCCCGCGCATAGCAAAACGAACCTTTCCCCACCGAGATCTTTGTTCCCTCGTTTTGTGCTCTCTGAACGTAATAATGCTGAAAATGACGGCGATACCGTGTTTGCTCGCCGCCGTTGCGGATCGTGAACCTTGCTCTAATGCCCATCTCCTCACCATGCACGAAACTTTTCGCACTGCGGAACATCTCCGTTGGTGATGTCCTTGATGAATTCGGCATCCGGGTCGAAGAGCATAACGTGGAAATGCTCGACCGCATGGACGGACTTGAGACTTCTCCAATTCTTGAACCAGATGACCTGATAAAGTGATTAGCCATCCGAGACTCACCCGGGCCACATACGAAGCACTCACCGAATCAGGCTTCGTCCTCGACCGGAAGGTCCTGTCCACGTAGGCCTCAATCTCACCCCTCGCCACCTCGGTCAAATCACCCGTCGCCAGATCCTCTTCCAGCTCGAACTTGGTCCAGACAACGAGGTGCACAATCCGTTCGTCAATGCCGTACGGCCAATCATTCACCAAAATTTTCAGATCCTCGTCGAGCTCAAACGGCTTCCCCTGGGACACCAACGGCTCCTCCCACCCCAGACGGCGCCTCAGCACGAAGTTCATGACGCTGCCGTGTTCTTGGATCAGCTGGTGGATGAAGAGCCGGTACCGGCGCAGCTCCGAGGGCACCCGCTGGAACAGGTCCAGCCGGTTCGTGGCGACGAAGCGCCGCACGGTCTCCCACGACTGCGGGACGTACTCGGCGTCCGGCGTGCTGAGGATCCCCACGTCCTTGGCGGAGAGATTGCGGAGGCCCTCTGGGCACTCTTCGGTCCGGTGCTCCGGCGGCACATTGACCTGCCAGTACGGCAGGGCCGGCGACTTGTAGAGGCTACCCATTTCTCGTTCGCTACTGGTTCGCGGGTGTTGCGGAGAGAGAGGATCGATTGGGCTGGGGCTAGTGTGCAGACGAGGTGGAGTTGACAAGGTAGAGAGGGATTTGGTGTGTTCTCGAGCATAAAAGAGATCCCGAGTTAAGAAGGGGGACCAATAGGTCGGTGTCCTCCTGGTTGCAGGGTGATCCACGGTTGTCAAAGAATGGAAGAGACGGCGAATGAAGGTCTCACACCCAGCATTAGCCGGTGGGACTTGATCAGGTCTTTGTTCGAGGCTTAATATATCATCCAGTCTCCCCCCCCCCCCCGTCGGCGAATCCGGACCAAAACTTACAAGTTAGAACAGGGCCTCTTCTCAACACAAAAACGCATGAGATTGTAAATGCTGCGGCGCGGAAACCGGCAGACCCCCCAAGTCATGCAATATTACCCGCCTTCGCAGGTCCGGGACAGGGACCCGTCATGCAGTCGCGCGCGTCCTCGTTCCTTTTCCCGTCCCTCACCGCTAGTCGGCGCCGATTGATATGGACTGCAAGCCAGGTAGGCCAAAGGCCAGCCTCCACCCGGAGACGGTCGGTCGCAATCCGGCTGGTGCACGGCTGGCAGCAGTCGCTAACCTTCCTGGACATCATTGCCGTGTCAGTCGTATTCGCATCACACCTCACGCGTTCACATCACATACAGCCTACATGGCCCGAAAGAAATTCCGTCAAGAGCATGAACACGCAGTGCTGCCTATTAAAATGCTATCAAATTCATACTACTACTGCCTCGGGCATGCAGGTGTGCCGCCTTTTTGGGGAACGTTTTTATTTCTATTATCCCATCGCGTTTTCAGAATGTCATCCAAGATGCTTACCGCGCATCGTGACCTCTGCTGTAAAATGCTCAAAATACACAAACCCGCCAGAGCCATTTAGTGCTCAAGCAGACGCAAGCTACCCTGGACAACCACGTTCTCGAGGATGGATCCAGGAGGGATGTCGATGGTGCTGCCCTCTGTAGCGACGATGATGACAGTGCCCTTGAGCGTCACACCGCGGCCGAGGTTGACGGCACCGGTGATGGTCAGGTGGTCCAGCTCGATGATCTTGGGGATGGACGGGATGTGCTTGGCGAAGTCAGAGACCTTCTTGAAGTCGCTGCCCAGCTTGATGAGAGGGGCGTCGCCGAAGCGGCTGGAGCTCATCTGAAGCTGGCCATGCTTGACGGTGTAGAGGTCAGACTTGACGAGCATCAGGTCGGAGGAGGTCTTGACGGGCAAGAAGCGGCGACGGGGAACGTTGACACCGTGCGCGTTCTTAAAGTGACGGATGGCAGCTCCGACGGCGGTCTCCAGCTGGATGATGGAGATGTCGGACTCGCCCTTCTTGTCGCCGGGGATGGTCTTGCCATTGGGGATGATCTCCATCTCAAGCTCATCGTTCTCAACGACGCGCTTGATGGCCTTCAGGTTGAGCCAGATGTTGTTGGTGTTGAAGTACTTGAACTTCTTGATAGACTTGAACTCGTTGACGTGCTCCTTGGGGACCTGGGCGATCTCAAGGAGACGGACAGAGCCCTCGTAGTCGATGATGGTACCACCCTTGACGTCGGCCTTGGTCTTGTTGGTCAACTCCATGATGTACTCGGCCTCGGTCTCGACCATGTGCTGGAGGACGCGGAGATCGACGACGGCGCCCAGGTTGTCGACGTTGGAAAGGAAGACAATCTCGATGCCACGCTCGATGAGCTTGTCGAGAATGCCAGAGTTGTACAGAGACTCGAAAACGTCACCGTGACCAGGGGGGTACCAGTCGCTGATGGCGGAGTCGTACGTCTTGGGGACGGGGAGGAGCGAGTCCTTGAGGATTCTGGGGTATCTTGATTGGTTGAAGGTGAGGATGTCGACGTTGTGGCCCTCGTACTTCTTGATGATGGCAGCAGTGTCGTCATTGGTGTTGAACGAGTTCATGAGGATGAAGGGAACGTTGACGCCGTAAGTGCGGTTGAGGTACTCGATCTGGCGGACGGACAGGTCCAGGAAGGACATGCCGTCACGAACCTCAATGACGGACTTGGGGCCGACGCAACCCATGGAGGTACCGAGACCACCGTTGAGCTTGAGGACGGCAAGCTTGTTGAGGAACTGAACGGACTCGGAGTTGGCGAGGTCCTCGTAGTCAACAACCTGGCCCTGAGCGGGGGGAGCAATGCGGTCCCAGTCACTGCATATCGTTCGTTAGCCTGCTCGATGCTTGTCCTTCTTTTCCGCTGTAGACCTACACGGCGTTGCCCTTGGCCTTGTCGTTCAAGTAGCGACGGAAGAGGGCGAAGAAGTTGTCCATCTCGGTCTCGAAGAGCTGCGGCAGGGGTCAGCATTGGGCGTTTCTTGTACAGGCGCTTCAATTATGAGTACTGACCTTCTTCTGCTCGGGGTCGGTGACCGTCTCGGAGAGGGTGGTGAGAGCATTGCGCATCTGGGCAGCGGCGACGCTGGTGGAAGTGTTCTCGAAAGCCTTGGAGGGATATCGTCAGTCTTCCATTGGCAAGTAGGTTTTGGGTATAATTGCGGCCCCTGTTGGGTGGGGCTCCATGAAGCTGTCGTCAAGTGATCTGCGGCGGGGCCAGTGTGCGATTACGGCCAGCTTGTTGTTTTCCCCTGAGACGCCATGAAGTCTGTTGCGAGCCGAGCCGACCCAACCCAAGCGCGTTTTGCATCGTCCTTCAGATCGCTAGAATCCATCAGAGAGCAAAACCACGCCCTGCGGCTTGTTTCGCTATGCCACTGGCTTGAAAGGCCTTTGCAAGATGCACTGCTCATACTAGAGACAGGCGGACCAGAGGCACAGAAGTGATTAGCAATGGCGCGAGCAGAGTGACACAAAGCAGCCAGTAGCTACTCGTGCTCACATTGCACAATTCGTTTCATGGCGTCCTCGTGAGAGAAGCAGAACCCCATCGTCACACTTCAATTGGCACTGCCCGGGGCCGCGTGAGAAGATGGGAGGAGCAGAGAGCAGTATATACCATGTGAGACCTCGTCTTGCCGTGGTGGCGGGAGGTGAACTCGGCGTCATCAGCCTTGCCCTGGCCTCCAAGAGGAGACTTCAGGTGAGTAGGCAGGGCGCTCTTGATCGCTTGAGCCATTGCGGGCGAGTGTTTGGGTGTTTCGCGGTGAATGAGGTTGGACTGGGGAGAAAGAGTGTCAGTAAACGCGACCGGGCTGTGAAAGAGCTCGAAGAGAAGATTCTGGCGGGCTCTCGGGGAGGGGGCGGGGGGGTGTAAAAGGCAGAATATTGTGGAAGGAGGGGAAAAAACAGGATGGGAAATCGCAGACGGCGGGGTAGAGCCTACGGTGACAGGGAATTGGCCGTGGGATGGATGGGGAGAAAAAGGGCTGGGACTAGGAGCTCAAAGGTATCTGTGTAGCCTGACGTAATTCTCGAGCTTCTCCATGTGACGAGGAGCAAGAATTTCGGTAGAGGCACAATCGAGCAGGTACAGTGAAGCTTGGGGAAGGCGGGAGGAGGTGATATGGCGGAGGAAGGGGGCGATGTGAGGTGCTTCTCGCCATGGGACGAACGCGAGAGCAACCTTGGCTTTCGGTTGGAGTAGGAGACGGGCAGATCAGCGGTGACAATAGTGACGGCGGTTGTACAGGTAGCAGCAGCAGCAGCAGCCAGCAGACGAAGACGGACCCAACTTACTTACAGTAGCAACGACGGCAACGGCAACGACAACAAACAAAGAGCGAGTGTGGATGGTTGAATTGGATGCAGAGAGAGGAAAAAGGAGAGATCCCAAGGGCCAGAGATGGATGAGGTGGACGGGGATTTCCCTTTATGTAGCGGTGATATCACTGTGGGAACCCAGTTCGCATTTGCCAATTTTCATTTTATCTCGTTCCCCCCGGGAGCCAGGAGTCTGGAGGGGACGGGACATACGCTGCACATTCTCATCCATTCACCCACCCACCGCAGCTTCGGGGAGGGGACCTGGAGGGGAGGGGAGCCCTCGGAGCCAGGAGCCCAAGGGGAGCCGGACAAGAATTGGGGGGGAGGGGCCGCAGTGTTCCATGCAGGACGCTGGACCTGGACGCACCCAACACTGGACCTCCACCATCTGCACCTGCACCTGAACAGCTG